CCGTTAGTGTCAGAACATGATTAGTTTCAGCGGAACAAAGGAAACTCCAACTGCCCTCGGGGCTGAAGCAGCCTCTCAGGCAGTTAAAGCACTTTAGAGTCCAGTTGCTGTGGCTGGAAACGAAGCTCCTTTTCACCACTGCAGCCTGCTGGGATCCCGGCATTCCTGTGCAGTTCTTCATATGTCTTCTGTTGGCGGGCTTGGACATGTCTCACGTCTTCATCCTGGTGCGCTCGAGCTGTTTCGGGCTACGGCTGCCATCGTCTGCAACCATTAACTCTGCTGGTTGGGACTGATGCCAGTTGCTGCTCTAAACACTTGCAAAGGGCCCTCTTGGGAAGGCAGCTACGAGCGGTGGTCCAGGCGTGGACGGAGATACAGGACGAGCCTTTTGTTTGTTTGCTGTTGTGTTAAGATGAATAAAGTCTGCTCAAAACACAGACCCCTGTCTGGTCAGTTTGCATTCTGCCCACCCAGGGGGGTCTTGGGATGCAGCAATATGGTGTTGTCTGCAAACTGGAAGAAGTTTGAGGGGCTGCTGAGTTGGGGGCAGGAGGGTTTTTGAGAAGAGGGGAAAGGACTGGCCATAAAAGATGGGTGCAGGTCAGCTTCACCACCACGGGATCAAGCTAGGAAAAAGGGGAAACCAGCTCTTCTAAATCTAAAGATGTGCATCTTTCCCAACTTGTCTGCATCCACATTCCCCACCCCACCCCACCCCACCCCACCGGCTATACTCCCCAGAATTCCCATCCAGCTTGGCCGCCATATATACAGGTGAATGTTTGGGGAAGAGGAAACTTGCAGTTCCACAGGGACCAATGTGGCCTTTCCTGCTTGAAGGTGCTGCCATTCCCTAACTGGATTAACATGGCTTCTAAAACAGGGGAGGAAGATTTTTAAAAATTGATTAGAAAGGAGGAAAAAAAATCCCAGGACTTAAATTTCACCTAAGAAGTCACAGGACATGGATGTTACAGGCTTTTAATAGAGATAAGCTAAAGGCCAACAGACAAGAAGCAATCTACAGCGTAAGTACAAAACACTGGGTGAAGAATGTCTCACAAGAGCTAGAGAGAAACCCACTTTTTCTCTAGAACCCAAGAGCGGAACAACTTCCAACTAAGGCAGGAAGGATACCTGCGTGCCTTCGATGCCAACAGCCTCCAGGGATCAATGGCTACTAACGGAAGGGGAAGAGAGCAGGATAAGAGCTCTTCTGCATGAAGGTGCTAGCTAAGCAGGCAAGCGTGTAGAACAGCTTCCCCTGCTGCTGGAGAATTGCCATTTCCCAATGCCCAGCCTTGGTGCCAACAGCGCCAACCCGGCTGACCAAGAATCCTGGCAGTTGCAAGTCGGGCACAGCTGGGGAGGTCCCCAGAGGGGAAATCTGGCCCTACAGTCACCCCACCAAGGTTCATCTCAATGAGGTTGGCACCAAACCGGCATTGTCCACTCATGTCGGAGAGAGCACCACACGCACGGAGGCCGTGCACCCCAAGGGTGTCAGTTATCCAGGGCAACAGAGAAGCAGGTGGATATGGGCAGGCCCAATCCAGCAGAAATTAAGTGCTTTGCTACTGAAGATAATGGCTGGACTGTCCTCTGTCTCTCATATTATTTTCTACTGTCTGAATCTACATAGGAAAATATACCTCTGTCAAATCCTCCCCCGTCTTGAGGCAAAATTAAGCATCTGGTTGAATCTACTACATTAGTTACATAAATAAATATATACCTAAAACTATATTAAAACATTTTAGCCACACTTTCCAAGCTGACTACTGGAGAGGCTAATAGTTTCTTACCCTACCCTAGAAAATTCAAATTGTGGTTCTGCCAGCCTCTTTCCTGCCACCCGTGCCCATCGAGCATTTAAAACGGCGCCAGCGTCCTGTCCTGTCCTGTCCAGGCCAAACTAGCACCGGCAAGAGGAGTCGCGTAGGAGTTGATCTCGGCACCGCTTTCGACAGTTCTTCAACCTCTGCAGGATCATCCCTGAAGTTTTACCCTTCATATCCCTTTGCTGCAGAGCTTACAGTAGCCTCTTTTCCCCTAACACCGCCACCAGCCTAGTTTCAGTCTCTTTGTAAGGTGGTGGTGGTGCTGCTGCTTACAAGGGTCTGTAGCAAAAACAACGCACCCTGCAGTTTGGCTCATTATCGTACAAGGAAAAAAAAGTTTCACCAAGGTCAGCAAAGTCAGAGTCAGTCCTGGCCATCTGGACATGCCGGCCAGCAGCCGCATAACGTGAAAGAGTCCAGGGTCAGCTAACGACCGGTCCACCGAGGAGAGATGAAGGCTTCCGCAGCCGGGAGATTCCAGTCATGGGCGCCGCTTCTAGTGTCCAAGTCCTGCACAAGTTAAAAGTTCAGAAGCCACGCGGTTTTGCGCACAGAGACGCATGTGTGTGCTGCATCACCTGACCATGGGGGCAGAGCTTCAGGCTGCACAGGGGCCCAGCCCCAAAACGCATCGTACACGCCAGGAATCCACAGGTGCCCTGTTAACAGATCAGCCCCTGCGAATACCAAGAGAATTAATTTCACGTGCTGCGAAGAGGAATCTGAGTGGTTCTCATCCAATGCTTTAAAAGCAGTGCATGGAATGACACCCCGCCACAAACAAGGCCCAAGCATTCGTGATCTCTTCTAAGTGACAACGGCACGGAGTCACGTTTGAGAGAAGAGCAGCAAGGAGGGGCATTTCAAAGTCAAAGCAAGTTACCTGGAGCGATAAAGCCTCTTCTTCGGGACAATGCATGTGCCCCAGGATCCCCCAAGCTTTGGGGAGCTTGCATCTATGTAAACTTGAAAGGGCAGGTGACGGGGAGATTTGTGTTATTATCTTAACAATTCTATACTTTGCGCAATATTGATCAAGGCACCTCTTGTGCTCCTCGCATGAACATTTGGTCAGTAGGCCACAACTTTTCTATACAGCAATGCTTCCAGCTTCCTTTTAAAGATATACCTATGCACTCAGAACCCAAATTTGTGAAACAACCAAGTCTTTCTCTAAAGTGCAGCTCCAGCCAGAAATGAAGAGTTTTCAAGATTTTGGCACTTGTGTGAGTTTCATTTTGTATGGCTTCTTTTGCAAATTTTCATTTTAGGTAGCAAGGATGGGGTCAGAAAAGTCTGCTATGTGGCCTTTTAAGCTGGCTTTTACCTGCAGAACACAACTAGGTTCACACACTGTTGTGCTATGCCTTGCTTAATCACATTTTGTTGAATAAACCATGACTTAACACATCAGCTTAAAACAAAGCAAACCATGTTATGGCTTGGTGTTATGAATGCAGCCTAGCATTCGTGCTAGCAGGTCCCATTCAGAGCTGAAAGGGGTCAGGCCCACACCTGAGCAACGTAAAGCTCACCTGACTTGGCACCTGTTTCCCCCCACAAATGAGCCCGGGAAGCCAGAACTGCACCATTTCCAAATTTCTATCAGGCAACCTTTGACAAGGCACAAGGAATATCTGTAACAGTTCTATGGATGCAGCTCGGGGAAAATTAAATGCACTTGAGTATATTTTTTGTATGGCAGTATCTGGGCATTTTAAAATCTAATTAAAAACACTACCAAACATCAGTTTGAGGGTTTCCCCCCTCTTTTTGCACCTGAATAGTCAGCACAGCAAGTTCACATACAGAGCTAAACCGTGTTTTTTTGAATAAGCCACAATGGGTGGTTTTGGATATCCCAAGCCACAATCAAATAATGCATACTGTGATTTAGCACAATCAATAAACCCAATCTTAGGGTGGGATTTTTAATTTCACAAGACTATCTGGCTCACGGAAGATCCCCCGCAAGCATTTCCAATTTTATCCATAGGGCAAAGAGTTCAGCTGAAACCTTGAAGCTGTTTCACCTGCTTTTGAGAATTTTGCCGAACTATTTTTCATGGACCTTTAGGTGGTTTGGTGTCCCATGCTGTCCGAAGCGACATTTGGATTCTATGGAAAACGTCTCCCCTCTCCGCTGAATGTTGAAACCAAGAGACATTTTCTAAAGAAACGTGTCCCGTATGTGGAACTCTAAAACCCCTGATCGCACATCTGTTTTGTACATTGTGGAAAGACTTTATGAGCAGGGAAAGGATTTACCCGGTAGACTTATCACATGTAACTGAATATAAAAAGGAGCTCTCAAGGAATAAGATCTGACTTGTGCAAAGTGGCTAATATGTTGTATAGGAAAATATAGATCTATATATTTAAAACTATCTTTTAAAACCATGAAGTTTTTTCACTGTTCATTTGTAGACTAGAATGGGCTCTACATCATCCATCCTTCCAGCAATGAATAAGTTATCAAAAGCAGAATATGTGACAGAACTGGGAGGCCAAACCATCCAATTATAATTTGGTTGGGTTACCAGATCTTTCAACATAAGAAGGCCCACTCAAACTAGTGGAAATGTAGTGTTCCAAGAACAGAACTTGAAAGAAAACGAATTCCGTCTCCAGAAATTTAGTTTTCACCGTAAAAGCCCTAGCTATTCTAAAATTATCCAATAGGCCAGGATGTCTGCACTCAGAGCTGCCAGAGACAATATGAACTGATACCCAGCACATCTGGAAGAAACAAGGTTGGGGAAAATGGCAACCGTTCTTCCAGCGAGCTAGAACACACCAGTGGCTAGTTGATTAAAACTGTACAGAAACTGGAGCAAAATATTTCATCCTGGGTGCTAAAAAAATCTACACTAAAACGCCTACAAAAATGTCTTTGGATTGATTGTTCCCTACCAGCCACAATGGCTATGACAACTTTTTTTTTTTTTTACAAAAAGCATGCACACAACACACGTACAACCAGCTTTCTCTCCTTGAATTATTAAAAGCATTTCTGAAATTCAAATATTCCATACTGAATACTGCTGTATGGTTTCCCCCATGCAAAAAGGGAGCTGACTTTTATAATTGTCCTTCTAATTTATTTATTTGTCTATCTGTGTGCAGCTGAATCCTTTCAGGGTAAAATTCTATAAATGCACTTTTAAGACAACTCTTGCGTTCCTCTGATTTCTGAGGGTGAATCAAGCATTCAGTTCCCTACGAAAAACCCAACTAGGTTTCAGACGCTGCTCATAATTACTCAGAGGGAGAGCAAGCCATTTAGACACCTCTCTTCCCACCCACATCTTTAAAAGCCACTAAGTGGCTTGTTGTCTGTACAGCCTGGTCTTGCACCAATTATACATGATGGGGAGCCACTTCTGTTTCAGAAGGGTGGCGAGATTAATACTCAACTTTAAACAGCGTGTCAAGACATTAATCTGTAATTTAAATGGCATTTCTTATCAGCATTCCCAAATGTTTGCCAGTCTGCCATGTTGAACAGACATACAACCTGTTCAATACAGTTAAATTATTCCTTGAGTTACTTTACCACCAGGTGTCTCAAATGAGGTACCTGGGAATTATTTTAGCTTTTTAGGTTTTAGTTAAAATCTGCTCAATTCCTGAGGGAAAATAAGAGACTCTCAGCTTCTGGGGATTGGTTGCTGAGTTTGTTTTTTAAGACGTGAGATTCTAGAAGTAGGTCCAAGTTTCTGCACAATTCCAGAGGGTCCTGACCTGCATAAATAACACTTATTTCTGAATTTGATCATGAAGACACCACACACAGATTTTGCCCTCACAATCAAGAGTATTAACCAGAATTACTGGCCACTGTAGAACACTTGCACACGCACACCCACACACAACTGTTTTAAAGAACAGTCAGCATGCCTCCAAATCTGTTTACAGCTCCTTAGTTACCGAGAATCAAAACAGTAATAACTGTCAATTAAGTCATCTTGGAACTGTAATGTGGTCAGGCTGTTCTTATTTTATGGAGAGGAAAAGATCCATTTCAGCAGATTAGTCAAATGACCAAGGACATCCTATTGATGACGAAGGCGCCTAAGTTTCTCCTGGCAGATTTTGCTCCAGAGCATGTCTGTGTTTCTGTCTTCTCCTCTTCCACCCCGTCCCTTTCCGTTGATGCTCTGAGAGGTGGCTTTGGGAGCAGGACTGGCAAATGCACTTTTCCAAAAGTTTCCCCGTCTGGATGCGCAGAGTCCTTCAGGCGATCTTTAAAAGAGAGAATCACGAGCACAGCAGGACAGCACAGGAGCTGGCAATGCCAAGAGCCCAATTCTTCCAGAGGAAAGTGGCAAGATCCAAGGAAGTCCCAAAGAGAAGCATCTTAAAATATGGACTGAAGGATGAAGGGTGAGCTGGTGACACTTCTTGCCTCTTATATAGGTGGTCTTAGCTCCAAGATCACAGTGACAATTCAAGCAACTGTTTCCATGTGCAAGAAGTGGCCGCTTCTTCCTTGGGGCTATGCATCTTCATTTAATGGCAGCTCTATCAATCAGGTGGCTGCAGATCTGGAGGAAAATCCCCTCCTTCCCATTTTGGCAAATGGTTGGCAGAGAAGAACGAAGGCAAATGCTCAAAAAGAAACGTTAGGAGACGTCTTGCTTGTTCCTAAGCAGCTCCCCACGCCTGCTAATAGATGGAAATGTTCGCACGAAGAGGCAGGAAGGGGCAGGGGGGAGACAGAACCGTTTCCTCGCTCTCTAGCCTCCCCCGCCCCCCAAGAACTGTTGCCAAGAGCTGCCATGTCTTGCAAAGCCATGACTTGGAGCCATCGTGCTACAGCCTGGCTCTCCTAAATTGGAAATCCAAGATGCCAATGTAGCCAAGGCTCTCTTCCAGTGGCCCATGGTAGGACCCGGCTGGGCATCTCAAAGATTTGGGTAGATCTGCTAAACATTAATGCTATGAAGTCTTTGCTCATGTCAACGATGCCAAAACAAGATCTTCCACTGAACAGAAGAAGGGACTGGGCCTTGGAAGAACATGGCCACTACCCTAAATGCTCATTTTCGTTCTGTTATGTGTAAATTACCAAGTAAGAGGCTGATTTATTTTGTCCCTACTCAAGATTTGACCTGATTCCACTTTCCACGTCCTTTAAGACACACTGGAGCAACGGATACTTGGGGAGCCCATCTGGGTCAAGACCTTGTCCAGCCACTGCAAGGGGCCATTCAGGTGGAGCTCAATCCAGCAGGGAGTGCTTGTGACAGTCTGCCTCCTGGAATGGGAACACAGAGAAGACCATGTATCTCCATGATGAAATGAAGAAGGAGAGGACAGGACCGAAAAAAGGTGAACCTAAAACTCAGAATTAGCTCTCTTCTTCCTGATCAGCAGAAGCAGATTAATCTCAGCCCTGTTGAGGCAGGCCAGGTCAAGAAAGAAACACAGTGGGGACCCCAGGAATGCTTCTTATTGTACTAAGACAGAAAAACAGAATCGTGAAAGCCTGTCCAGGTTTTCTTCTATCCCAACTTATGCTAAACAAAATCAAGGTGGGGTTACCTTTTTGAGTTCCCTTCTTATGCTTTCCTCTTTCTCAGGACTGGACTCTTTTCCACAAGTCCCACCTCAACATCTCGCTCATTGCTCCCCCAATCTCAAAATTAGCTCTACAGGCCTTCCCAGCAAATAAAGAAACAGCCTGCTTGATTCAGGTATCAGAAGGAATGAGTGGATTCCTGCTCTGGTCAGGGGCTTGACTAGATGGTTCCAAGGATCTGTTCATCCCTATTGAGAAGTGTGCACTATTCAGGTCTGAAGCAACCAAGGTGCTTTGGGTCTGTCACGGGCATCTTTCCCGTATCCACTGGCAGCTCCTTAGAGGAGCACTGCATTTTTCCTAGGCTTGCATGATAGCTGCGCAGTGCAGGAAAACGACTGCTTAAATTCAGGAGGCATCTCAGAGACCTTGACAGGATGCAATCACACATCGTTGTCTTCTTAGTCCCAGTGTAACTCAAGCAGGCATTTTCCCAGCTCCTTTCAGGACTGGCCAATAGATACAGTGAGGATGTCTGTGCCAGATCCAAAGCACCTTTGCCATTGGATCCAAATATTGCACACCTCTACTTCTGCCCGCTGGTGCAATCCACTTGCTCCCTGGGACAACTGAACCAAAGCGGGCTATTTTAAAGTCCGCATCACTTGCTCTGCTTCTACCGATCAGGAAGAACACTGCATCATGCTAAGCTGAAGATCTCAAGAGGGAGATCTCATCTCACGCATGGGAGAAGATACAGACAGGGATATTTTTCTCCCCATCTCCCACAGCATTAAACTTGGGGTAATCTGTGGAAACTAAAAGATGTGAGATTTAGGATAGATAAAAGCCAGGACTTCTTAACATCCATAAATTTGCTACTATCAGATGTTGTGACGGATGCTGTTCAAATGACTTTGAGAGACAAATGCACAACGTCCAGGAGCGCCGGGGCTGTCTTGATGGCCATCTACAGCTCAGGAATCACCAGCAGCATTCTTTGAATACCAGCCGCTGGGAACAATAGAGGGGGAAGGCTATCAGCTCCCTGTTCTGCTTCTCAGCTTCCTGAAAGATCAGGCTGGCGCTACGTGACTCAGGCACCAGACCAAGAGGACCTCCAGCCTGATCCAGCACCAGCTGCACACTGTACCTGCCAGGAGGCCGGCTGCTCTGATCAGAAAGAGCTCTTGGTGAGGGAGGGAGGCAGGCAGGCAGGCAGGCCATGCTTGGGCTGTATGCCACCCTCTGGGCAAGGGGACCTGAGCACCCAGTTGCTCTCCTGTGGTGAGATTCTGCAAGGCCTGGAGCCTGAAATGCCTTCAAAGGGAATGCTGGGGTTGTTGGGACTCCAGCGGCTCCTCCCCAGCCCAAACGCTGAGCCCGCCCTGCGCCAAGAGCATCTCTCCCCACCTTCTGCCACCTTTGGGGAAATGGCTCTGCGAAGGTCCTGCCACGCCCTTTGGGCTAATCAGAGAGAGAGAAGCCCCTTCTGCCTGCCGCCCAGCCTCCTTCACCCGGGGGGGAGAGAGCGCTACTCTAAACCAGCTGCAGAAGCTGCTCTGCCCCGGAGTGACCGCCCAGAAGACACGTGAGCAGAAAGGCCCAAGGAGAGATTCCCCCCCACTGAAGACGGGGGGCAGCCCCGTCCTGGGATGCGGACCAAGGGATACACGGTCCTCCTGACCCCTGCTTAGCAAGCACGAGTGCGCCAGCTGCGCCGCACAAGCACAGAACGTGCTCCGGGCGGCTGCCTCTTCTCATGGGCCGAGGCCTCCCAGCCCCGCCCAATGCAGCACGCACATCTGGAGCTCATTAGACGCCCTGGCCGTCGGCCAAGACCCGAAGCAGCCTGACCGGGGAGCAAGCCAACTGCAAAACAAGCGGGACTCCAGACATCTGGAGGAGCTGCAAGAGGTAACGCGAGAGGTCTGGGCGCCCACTCCCACTCCAGGGCTCCGATGGAAAGAGGCACCTGGCAAGCCACAGCGGCCGCCTGTTCCCAGCAGCTCATGGAAGCGGGGCCAGGATCTCCCCCAGCAGAGGCCCTTTCCTTCTGCAGACCGCAGTCTTGGTCCCGTCCCTTCCCCACTTGGTACAACCCAAATCATTCGTTCAGCCCCCACTTTACCCGCCCCCCGGGTAGCCAGCGGCCTCCTCCCCACTCTCCTCTACCTCCCTGCAGAAATTCCCTCCTGCCCTCCAGTTCCCTAAACGGCCACCCTGAAAAGGAGAGAAGCCGGTCCTCTGAATGGCAGCCCAAGCAGCCCCTTCCTGCACCATCTCGAGGGTCACACCTGGGGGCTGCAGGTCCCCTCTCTGCCCCCTTGTGGCGCCGGAGCCGAGGAGTCGGGAAGGCCCCCCCAGCGGTCTGGGGCCTCCCAGAGCTCCCCTTCCTTCTCCAGACCCAGTGCTGACCTGTACTCGGCCCCCCAGCCCTTGACAAAGCTCATTCGGATGGTGCACATCCGCGTCAGCTGGTAGACAGCCTCGAAGCCCTGGTTGACAGACTGAGCCAGAAGGGCTGCAAATTCTTGGTTGTTAAAGATCTTCAAGTTACACCCTGTGGAGGACAGAGAACACAACATGAGGGCCAACGTTAGCGGGGGGTCCCCGACAGCATCACATCACGCGCTCTTCTCTCCACAGACAAGACACAACACTCTCCTGAACTTTGCAACAAAAGGCTTTCAAGGTTAGTGAAACAGACACACAAAACCTCCAGAATTAAAAAAAAAAAAAAAAAGGAAGCCCTTAACATTAAAGATGCTTATTCTCTCCCTCTAAACAGTAGACAGCTTTCTCCCAACAGTAAATTTCCTATTAAATAATCAATCAAGAGCTTCTTGTTAACAATGTGAGGCCTGTGAAGCTGCAAGACACACATTAGTACTTGCTATACTAGTGGGAAAGAAAGCGGTACAGATAAATACCAGAGAGCTGTGGTGTCATAATATATTAATTTGGTAAGCTGCTGGGTTAATAAAATTGTGAGAGGCCACCTTTGGACATGAAGCAGAAATATGAATCATTATGAATTATAGCTATTCACTAAGGTCAGAAGTTATCAGGAGGATAGATGGAACCTTTTAAATCTTTTAATTTCTTTTGTAAAAAAAAAATCAACTCTGTTTTATATTTACGTAAACAGAAAGCAAGAGTCCATCACATCTGGTGAGTTTCATGTCAGAAAAGGCTGGAATAAAGATCATTTTTTTTAAAAAAATGAAGAAGTAGGAAGTTGATGAGGCAGGATTTACTTTTATGGAATCCATGCTGATTTCCCTTCAGCAAGGTTTATTCCTCACTGTGCCTAGTCCCCTTTTTTCTTTGATTACTGTTTGTACCAATTTCCCTGGAAGAGATGTTAAGCTGATCAGCCTATAATTTTCTAGATCTCGCTGTGCCCCTTTTAAAAACCGATGCTGCATTTTCTGATGCATCCGTGCAGTTTTCTCTGCAGCAGTACAGAATGTGTCTGCCACTGCCTTCTTCCAGGACTTTACTGAGCCTTGTAATCTAGACAAGGTCGACTGGGAATATACTGACCAACATATTCAACAGTTCAGTTTTTTCAAAGATTCTTTGGAAGGGAAGATATTGCCGAAACCTATCAGGAACTCACTCTGAAGATCAATAAAGCAGCATATGACTTCATGCCTTACACCCCTACTCTGTGCTGCCTCAGGGAATTTTGGGTGGCACCTCGACATCCAGAGATGTGGACAGGGCCTCTGAAGCTATGGGTTTGTGACTGGAGAACGGAAGTTCTTCAGCAGGACAGCTGGTGTCCAAAGGATTCCCAGGGGGAGAAACTGCAGAACTCTGTCCTTGAAGAAGGGAGAGGGTGGTACATCTCGGGGACAACCACTGAGAATGTCTTTTGGGACACCTGCCAGCAAACTTTAAGTAATCCTGTAAAGATCTTTCTCTGGAGGCCAACCTTAGCTGCTCCCATTTCTGGGCTGAGCCTGGAGGAACAATGAGCATGCGGGTGGTGGTAAAGCCACCAGCTGAGCCCCAAGAGCAAACCAGTCAGTAGAAACGTCTTCGAAACTAACTGCTTCCGGTTGCCCCCCAGCCCTGGCTCCATTCAACCTTCCTTTCCTGCACCAGTTTTTTTACACATAGGGCCAGCTGCATGCTAAAAGGCCTTTAAAAAAATAATCACAGCTGCTTTGGGATGCAGGGAGGCAGGAAAATAAAATCTTTTCCCCCAGCTGTCAAGCCCAGGACAACACGGCCATGCCTCTCTTGCACGCTCCAGCCCGGGATGAGCTCTGAAAACTGGCAGGCGGGAGCTGCTGATCTTATGGTCAAGGCCAGAGTTACACTGGCATAGAAGGCAAGGAGCATTCCTGGGGCCCAAAAATACCACCCCCAGCCCAGCCCTTTCTGAAATTAACCACCACCAAAAAGCTTTTGTGATCAGAGCTCGTAAGACTTGGAGCACAAGACTTTCCCAAAACCAACTCTGCATTTCTACCCCCCTTCTAGCTTTCTAGATCTCCACAGACAACGCTCACAGCTTTCAAGTACACCTTCAGTCATAAGACCTAGTGTTTTAAAATATACAAGGCAAACTGTTTCTTATTTCTAAATTGGTAACCCTTTTATTATTGCACTAATAAAAGGAGAAAACAAAAACCTAGTGAAAACCAGAATATGGTACATAGCTTTGAGGAAGAAAAAAAGTTTCTACTGAACTAAAACTGTTCCTTCTGTTATTGTTGGGGATCCGTAAAATGACTGAATATGCAGTTCGCTGCTTTCTTACTTAATGCTCATCACCTAAAGTGTGAGTGTCAGCTTCAGTATAAACTGCTTCTTTATCTAATCCACCAGCACACACAACTTCTGACATCAGTAAATAAAATATAGAGAGAAGTTTCTTCCAGCTATTGATAGACGGGAGTCATTAAACCTCACCTTTTGGGGAAAGGCAAACGCTCTCAAAATGAATATTATTCCCAGATTCATTTATATTCTGAGAGGGATTCTAGTTTTTATATATGGAAAATATTTTCAGAAAATAAATTCTTTGTTTAGAAAATTTCTATGTGGTTCTTCAATTCTGAGAATATCTTTACAGAAAATGCAATTATCAATTAATGAGGGAGGGTTCGGTCTAGCAAATCTGGAGCTATATCATCATGCTTAACTCTTGTCAAGTATTAAATACTGGAAACGAACTAGTGGTGTTAATTTCCAATTTGGACTTTTCCAACTTTGGAATATGCATATACAACACCTTTGGTCAGATGGACAGTATTAGGATCAAAATACACTAAAACTCTACAATATCTCTGGAAACCTGTCAGTTAGAAAGCTACAGAATGCAATGTCTAATTAAAAAAAAAAAATGATCCTTTTTCCCATGCCAAACTGACTTGATGGGGAAACCCAATTTTAAAAATTGGGAAAAAGATGGTGATG